ATCATCTTAATATCTAGAAGATTGAGACACCTCTCCTGTGTAGCGGTTGCGCAGGTTGAGTGAGGCCATGAAGTTGGAGTAGTCCTTCTTCACACATGCTGGTCTCTCCGTTAGCTGGGTGGTCTAATAAAAAACAGAGTTTAAGGGCCACTTAGGGCCACCCAGTCACAAGGTAGGAAAGTAAGATACGCAGCTGTACTGTAACACTTCTGGATAAACTGGAAGGTATCATGCCTGAGCCCTGTCTCTGTATTTAGTATTCAGACCAACCTGAGGGAAAGCAGCCTATGGTTGGCCACATGGTGGAGGACAGCACCAGCATAACCAGTTAGCCAAATGGGCAACCAGCCAACCAACCCACCCGTCCATTGCAGGTAAGTAACCAGGTAACCAGCAAATCCGTAAACCAGCCAAGCAACCAGGTAGGTAGTTCGGTGCAGTTTAATAAAGACAAAATACAACAAATGAAGCAAATGAAAAGACAGATACGTATAGCAGAATGCAAGCCGCAGAACACATAAGAAATGCATAGCAAGCAAAATAATGTCACACAGACTAGTAAGCATGCGCACATGGACGTACAGTACTGTAAACAACTAGACAAAAAGACTCCCAGTGTTTACAGTGCTACAGAGTGCATACAGAATAAAACATAATAAAACACATGTGCACAAAGGATACAAGACACCTCTGATCAGTGCTAACAAAACCACAAAGGCCTTGACAAAGCAGCTAAACAGCACATTCGTTATGTTAAAAAGCCATTAATGTTGGACAAATGTTAATAAGCATGAAATCAACAAGACTGTGAGGCCATGGGTAGGTAAATGAGCTACTTTTAAAGTTTGCTTTATGTTCTCCAAGTACAGTTTGTTAAAAAAAAAAAAAAAGTGCTACGTGCTTCTTGATACACAAAGTGACAAGGTGTCACATCCTGAGGCATCCGCACTGCTCTAAAAAAATGTGTAACTTCTCTCACAATAGAAAAGCAAACACATTTATGGTAGGACTGTAAAACCATACTGTGCCTGTATTGTGGCTTTTAATGATGTGCAATGTTGCTAACAGATTGATATTTTTTCTGCATTCTTTAAATATGCTTAAATTGTGACTGGTTTTAAGACACACACCTTAATTTGGTACATGTAATTTCGTGCGTTTTTAATCTGTGGTAAATCTGCGATTCACGAGACAGTAAAAGTGGTGATCAGAAAAGGTTTATGTGCGAACATGTATGGATGCCTGCATGTGTGTTTGTGACTCACGCCTAGTGTAGTACTCTGTCTGTTGTAGCCTGCAAAGTGCAGTATGCTCTCTGTGGCCATGGCGAGGCCAGTGTGCTGGGACAGTCCCGACACCCAGTTCTGATGCTTGTTCAGGTATTCCTGCATTGTACATAACATTCAGGCAAGAAGAGACAGAAAAAGAGAAAGTGGGAAAAGGAAAAGAAATAGTTGAACAACAAAGATGACAAATATTGTCTATAAGGTCAAAATACACAATGATTTCCCTTCAAAACACTAAATCAAACAGTTTATACTTAACTAATTAGGGATCTTAGATCACCAATTCTTAGTACAAAACTATTATATCATTACAATAAACCTCAGCCATAATATAAGGGTATTGTGGCTGAGGTAGTGTTGCTAAAACTAGAAGCACAACCAACGTCAAGTAAATGTTTAAAACTTAAATATCTCAACTTTCAGAAAGACACTTTTCTTAAATATACTTTTGCTACAACCTAATTTTGTTAGATTTTTTTTTTTAACTATAAAGACATTGTAGCTCCAATCAAATTTACTGCTTTGATTAAATCTGTGTCAGTCCTCACTTAAACATAAAGGTAAAGAAACTGACCTGTAGGTGGGACTTTGTGACTGAAGGGGCCCATTTCATCGCTTCTTTCAGGATCTCACCACAGCGAGCAGCAAAGTCCTTTACTATACTCTAAGAGGAGATAAGGAAGTAAGGATACAACACCACTAAATGATGACAGGAGTGCTGGTGGACCTTAAATTTCAATGAAATCCTTGTGCAAAATGCTAGATTCTTAGTGATTTCTAGTATAAATAACATAATATGAAAACAACATCAAATATAGCAGTATATATAAGTTTCATTTAAAACCTACAGTTTTATTTAGTTGACAAATTAGTTCCACTACCCAAAACAATTCAGACAACAAAGAGATCACTACAATGTTTACAACCAATACTGTGCTGCCCTCTAGTGGTCACACACGTGTAACAACAATCCAAACCCACCTCTCTGGCTTCATATGTGTCAGGAACAGTGATCCTGTAGGGGGTGTCTGGAATGTCATAGTATGGCTGATCCTTGTGAATGTCCTGTATAAAAAAAAGTGAGAAATTTATTGCAACTGAAGCTTCTAGTTTGCACCTATTTCAACATTTCTCTGGGGTTTGATTAAAACTCTGAAGATTTTGACTAAAAGCTGCACCAGATGAGAATATTCCACATCATTTCATTTGCCACCTTTAGATGTTCTTGTTCGTTATAGGGATTTAAACCAACAACCTGGCACTGCGCACTGGCTCTCCCTCTCTCTGATACTTACAGCACTTAAAGACAGAGAGAGTGTCTGCAAAATATCCAACATGGTCTTCAACACGCGACCACTCCAAAGCAGATGGGGGAATCTGGTTGAAGTAGAGGGATGTAAAAGATACATCTGTAAAGTGATTTTAAAAACTGCAAGCAGACAAAGTAGCTGAATGATTACTACTCACGTCTCAGCCAAACCAGAGAGGTATTTGTCTGCCACTCTGCGGATCCTCTTGTGTGTGTGGTTAAAGTTGATCAACAGGAATTGGGCATGTCGCTCTAATTCCTCCTCATGCTCTTTGGTCTTTGGCTACAAACATAAGAAATACACACTGATTTTTACTCAGAGCAGAACAAAATCTGTGACCAGTAAAATGTCCAGACCTTTAGATATTCCTCACTATTATTCAAAATATCAAGAGAAAGTATGATACCTACCTTCTCAGCCATCATCTGGAGGAAGACATCAAATACTTTATCACCAACACAAATAATGCACTGCATCATGCCTGTGTAGATAAAAAAGGGAATTTAAGAAAATGAATTATACAGCTTGAAGGAAAAGATAGCTAGAGGTGTGCAGGCATAAAGCCCTCACCAGATTTGTCTTTCTGGATGGCTTTGTCTTCAAAGTATCGAAACATGACCTGGAACCTGTCAGGATCATTGGATCGCAGCATCCTGGAAGCGTGCAAAAGGAAAGAGAGATATTACAAAGTTGCACAATCAGACCTCCCTTTATTAAAGGATAGGTTTAGATTTTTACAAGTCTATCTTAAAACAATAGTCAGGCCTGTGTACATACTTTGCCCAATCCCTTCTTAAAACAATTTCAATGTAAGTGAAGGGGGACAAAAATCTACAGTCCTTGTCCTGTCCAAAAACACAGTCCAAACTCTCAATATGAGTCCAATATGAGGCTTCAACAGTCTGAGTTAGTATCTTCCAAATTTACAACCTTCTTAGTACAAAATTTCCACTTTGTGGTACTGTCGCTCTGCAAAGAAGACTCAGACGGGCACCTGACAATTGTTTTAAGACAGACTTGAAAAACTGTCAACCTATCCTTTAAGGAATAATGCCAGTGGTGATAAAAGATGAGTAAATATAACATTACCTCATGTATTCTAATCTGTAGACTGAGAGCAGGTACGTGGACATTGCAAAGTCTAGCTTGTTAATGAGGGCGGATCCTTCAGGAGGTGGGTCGAGGAGATTGCTGATGGTTGCCCGCAGCTCGCTCAACTCAGCCTAAAAGACAGAAATTGAGGATCTAAATATTAGTTCTGGCTTTGCTGTTGTAAGAAGAGTTTTCACGACATTAATGCAAAAAAAGATATCTATATTTTTGAACACTGTACCGGTGTCACTGTGTCATTTTTTAGAGCTGAGTTATATTGCAGCTCGGAGCGAAGAGGTTCTCCACTGGGGAAGGTGAGGAGAGGAGACTTGGTAGCAATCTCACACACGCCTTCATACCACTCCTCTGGCCAAAGCCCTGAAAGGACAAAATATATATAGAAATGCGGAATGCCACTCAAATGCAATTACTGACACTTATTTGGTTATATTTGGGTTAATACTGATGACAGAAAAAGCCAAACATCTCTTTTTTGCCACATAGATGAAATCATAAATCTTATTAATCAATCTCAATCTGATTAATAAAATCAATCTCTTAATTAAAAGGTACATTCATCAGATTATAACAAAACCTTTTTGTAACCACCTGAGAAAATAGGATCTATGACCTATGAATTAAAGCAATGGGCAGCTTGATGTTTTGAAACCCCTCACACAGGTCACAGCTTGAGTTTCAGAACATCAGCATTGAGAATGAAGAAATCTTGTGATTTGGTGAAGTTACTAACCACTAAACCAAAATCAGGGGGTGTACCTAAATATCAGCTCCTACTCATTTTAAGAGATGTAATGCAGTGCATGACTTCATACTTAATATGCAGTGTACTGAAAACAGTTCATTCCTGGCTCACCTGATCCCTCTACAGCAAAACCCATGACCACAGAGTACAACCAGAAGTCCCTGAACAGCTTCTGGAGGCGGGGCTTGGCCTCTTTGATTGGCGGAAGTCGCCTGGTCAACTGTGAGTTTACAAAAAGGGGCACAGGAAAAGGGTGAGAAAAGTTTTTCAAGATTTATGCTGCATTATACAAATTACAATCACATTGAGTTCAAATGATTCTAAAGGTAAAATGGAAATTCTTTCAAACACAAAGCGAAAATCTTCTTGGACGTTCAGCACACTAACAAAATAAAGGCATACAAATAACATAAACCATCAACTGCAAAACATATCTTACCAGACTACTAGCTCTTTAACAGTTAATCAATATTAAATATTCTTAAGAGCTGAATTGTGAAGAGTTAAAGATTTTAGTCAGTCACAGCACTTTCTGGTCTGTTTGATCTGGTCTATTTGTTCAGGAGGAGCCCACATCAAAGTTCAGTTTTGTATTCAATTCTTTGCTCTTCGTCCTACAAACAGAAGCTGTACAGCACTTTCCACCAGCACACACTAACGGTAAGACATTTTACAGACTACGACTGATTTTTAAGGGAAATTCACGTAAAATATTTTTGCCTTTTTAGTAAGTGAAGACATAATTTAATTCCTACAGATTTATTAAAACATACTTTAATCAAATTCACAAATTATTGGTCAGACCAATAACTAAGCCACACTAAATGTCCATTCCCTCTGCCTCAGTCTTCAGGATGTGGGTCATCACCATCTTCTTTGTGGCCTCACTGCTGGTCAGTCCATCCTGGGCTGGAATCAAAGACCTCGGCTCTCACTTCACTGACCCTCAACCGGACCCCAGAAGATTTGAGCCAGACGGGACAGTGGATATAGAAGCCATCCCGTTGGATTTCCACAAGGAAAACACTGTCACTAATGACTTAGTTTTTGATGGTTTTGAGGATGAAGATTATATTGATTTTGACAAGATCCTGGCTGCAGGCAGCGATGATTACATGTAAGTTTGAATGGTTTTTACATGTGGTAGGTTACATCAGAAATGTAATGTTCTGTAACTTCAGATGTAAAGTAATGAAGTAAAACATAATTTCATATGGAAGACCTAAGAAAGACATTTTTACATTTATACCTTGGATTGGTATTATATATATCTATATATATATATATATATAGATATATATATAGAACAAATGTACACACCTAAAAATAGTTACTTATGATGCAGCTATTGTGTGAAGTGTTTAAATACTAAATAGCAAAAAAAATTTAGAGTGATTCAACTTTTGAATGGTTGGGTGATGACTTTATGATGTTTTTCAGTGAAGGGGATGAGATAGATGAGATCGCCACGCCAGCCCCAGACATCGACATCTTTGCCGAACCCTCCGACCCAAAGATTCGTCGTGCCAGACTCCTCCGGCTGTTCCATGGCCGGTCTCGCCTTCAACGCCTCAACATCGTCAATGCCCATTTTGGTTTCAATCTCTATCGAAGTCTTCGTAACGGCGTCAACCAGACTGACAACATCCTGCTAGCACCTGCTGGGATCTCCATCGCCATGGGGATGATGTCTTTAGGGGCAGGAGCGGGAACCCATGACCAGATCTACAAAGCTCTGGGATTCGCCGAGTTTGTCAATGCTAGCCACCACTATGACAACACAACAGTGCACAAGCTCTTCAGGAAGCTGACACACAGGCTCTTCAGGAGGAACTTTGGTTACACGCTCCGCTCTGTAAACGATGTCTACATGAAGAAGGACGTCTCAGTGAAAGATAGTTTCCGCACAGAGACAAAGGCTTATTATTTTGCTGAGCCGCAGTCAGTGGACTTCAGGGACCCTGCCTTTCTGAACAAGGCTAACCGTCGCATACAAAAGCTGACCAAAGGGCTGATCAGGGAACCACTAAAGAGCGTGGACCCAAATATGGTGCTGATGCTGCTCAACTACCTGTACTTCAAAGGTGGGTGAAAATAAAGACAAATGTTCATTCACAATTCAATGTTGCAGGACTCTGAGGACAGTAAGACTGCAGCACATCTGCCTGCTTTGGTTATCAGACTCACAAAGTACTCATATCACTCTTTGACCTTGTTTGTTTGATAAACAGGTACATGGGAACAGAAATTTCCCAAAGAAATGACTCACTATCGCAACTTCAGAGTAAACGAAAAGACAAATGTGCGTGTGCCAATGATGAGCAACAAGGGGAACTATCTGGCTGCTGCTGACCATGAACTTGAGTGCGACATCCTTCAGGTGGGTGGCCTCGGACTGGTTTGAAATTTTAACTTGGCGTCTGAAGAGTGGCAGGATTTTTCAACAAAAATTTCCTGACAAACGCGTAAAAACAAGTCAAGTGAGCCACATAATAATGATTGAATTATTTTCAGCTCCCATACACAGGAAACATCAGCATGCTCATCGCCTTGCCGAGGAAGATCACTGGTATGAGGGCCTTAGAGCAGGATCTCTCCCCCACCGTTGTCAACAAGTGGCTCAAAAACATGACAAACAGGTCTGCAGCGTTCTTTCTGTAAAACAATATGTACTGTAAATAATAATAATAACATACAATAAACTTTTTCAACAGGAACTCTTTTACAGTTAATGGCTTGGGTGAAAATGCTTGATTTAAGAGCTATAGAGCTAGAGCAATGAGGAAACTTTTCTATGACTCCCTTCAGGACTCGGGAGATTGTGTTACCTCGGTTTAAACTGGAGCAGAACTACGACCTGATTGAAAATTTGAAGGAGATGGGCCTCACTGACTTGTTCCAGGAGAGTGGAGATTTCTCTGGAATGACCTCTGAAAAGGTTGCCATGAACTGGGTGAGTAAGACTAAATCAGTGATGCTTTTAGTAAGAAATAACCAACTGAGCCTAAAATCAAACATCAAAACAAAATGAAGGTCTCTGCGTTATTCAGTCACCTGGGCACCTTCTCAACTGCAAACAATAATCCATACTAACTATTTCAAAACACCTTGTGATTTCCCTCTGCAGCTGAAGCACCAAGGAACCATCACTGTGAATGAAGAGGGGACAGAAGCTGCAGCACTGACCCAGGTGGGCTTCATGCCCCTCTCCTCTCAGATCCGCTTCACTGTGGATCATCCCTTCCTCTTCCTGATCTACGAGCACCGCACAGACTGCCTTGTGTTCATGGGCCGGGTGGTTGATCCCTCACAGAGCTAAAACTGGAACAAACAGCTAAACTTTTCACTACAAATTCCACCTTTGGTCAGAAAACTAAAAATGCTAGTGAACCTCAGAAATATTACCGATTTTAATAGCTGAGGTGTTGTTTTTTTAATAGTCAATTGGTACAATATGTAAAACGTAACGAGTACTGAGTCTTTATATGTCTCTGTCTGAACATTTAAACTTCTCCTTCATATTGCTCAAGTGCTGAGTTTGTCTGAGTGATTCAATGAAACCTTGTTATCTGTCTGTTAATGTTTTATCTTTTGCAATGAGGATAGTGGATGAGTGTGCTCAAAAACATGACATTACATAACCTTCATGCTTTTGTGTATTAATTGCAGAAAGACCAAAGATGAATAATACACGACAGGGGATAATAAAATAATGCATAACACTTCTGTACAATAGAGAAGAATTTCTGTAAATAAAACCTACACTGGTTACATTACATTATTCTTTTTTAAGAAGAAATAACATATAAAAAGGTATAAAAAAAAATTATACCTTATTTAATTGCCAAGTTTTTACATAAACCTGCTTAAAACTATTACTATCTCAGTACAATGAAAAAATACTACTAATTGGTGCTCAATTTTTGTCGGACTATGAATACTATTCAATATACACAGTTTATATTCTACCATACTATTACTATGTTGGCTTTAAATTGATCTCGTAAAAAAAAAATCAGCAGTGAACTGGTGACAGATATTTGTACTGCAGCTGAAAGGGTAAATATTTGTTCACAGAGTTAAAAGCTAACTAACATCTGTAACAAGTCATCAACTCAGCTCATGCAGATCTTTTAACTGCGCTGTATGTGGGTATTTTAACACGAAGTCTTGCCGAAAATGACTTGGAACTGTCTCTAAAGGGGCAACGGTTTGCACACACATCACATTCAGTACTCACCACGGCAATCACTGGTATAAGGACTCCAAGATTTCCAGCACTACTCGATGCCTGCGGGAGATAAAGAGCCATTACCAATTTATCAGCATGGCTGTTATCAGTTTCCTGTTGTGTTTAATTGTTTGTGCATGTAAGCACGTACCTTCAGGGCTGGCCCTTTGTCTGAGGCCCTCTCGCTGGCTCTCTTTCCTTCTAGGCCTAGTTGGACAAACAGTTCTAAAAGGTTCACCATCAGTTCATCCACCAGCTGCTCCCCCTGCAGGTTGGCTGCGATGTTGGCCAGAGCGTTTATCACTGCCAGAGAACAGTGCCTTGGAAGAGAAAGATAAACAGTTATACTCTGTGTAGACATAAATGTACACAAGACCAACAAGAAGTATTTACTGCAGATGTTTACACACCAATGTAACACAAACCCGCAGAATGCACATTAGTACCATAGTCTACTACCGCTGACCACCTGATAAGAGTGAGCAAAGAGCAGCAATTATTAACAATCTCCCAACTACGTTTTCTCTTTTTCAGCCATTACATCCCCTGGTGCAACTGTTAACTCTGACCAGGGTGAGAGCGGATGCCGACCTGTAGCCGTGATCTCTGTAGTCTTTAGTAGCTGAGTAGACCACCGAACTGGCCTTCACGCTGATCTGCTGGAACAGGTTCCACACCTCCTGATAGATGTATTGCTACAGGACAAACAGGCAGGAAGTAACAGGGAGCAAGAAAGTGCAGGTGCAAACAGGTTAAACTCAAGATAAAATGTCCTTTTTTGTAAGCCAATCCCATTATTAGAGATAAAATTAGCAAATATGCGAGATCTGTATCGGGACTGAGCAAGGTATTTTGTAAGTGATCTGTATCTGCTACATAAGGGCAGATCCATTTCCAGTCTTTGTTAATTGTAGCCTATCACACTCTGGCTATCAAAAGCACCCTATTGTGTGTCAACTGCAATACTGGAACCTATTCTTAATGCAGTGTACTAAGCAAGTTAACAACAGCCAACAGGTTTAAGGTAATTACAGCATGTCAGCTCCTCTGGGTTAAGAAAAAGGGTTAGTTTGCTTCTATTTATAGAACAGTAATTACTAGTTTACACTTCTGAATAACCCCAGTTATTTACTTCCCCTATATCCCTTTTCAACCATCGATACAAAGAATAATAGAAGCAAGATACTCTAAATCTGTGCCATCATAGTGACTTTGTACTTACATTTCCTGTAATCACCATGCAGCCAAGCTGGTCGATGATGAGAACATCCAGCTGTGATTGAGGCTGGCAGAACTTTTGTTGAAGGATTTGCAGGATGTGCTCCATGACTTTAGGAGTGTCTCTCAGAGCCACCGCAATGTGGCCCAGTGCTCGAATGGTGTGATCTGGGATTAGATGGGCATCCCTGACAGAATGATATGATGTATTTTTAGAGTAGCTGCTCATCAGTTTCAAGGACCTGAAAATATTCTGGGTGACTACAAAGCACATAGTTTCTGACTAGAAACGCTGCTTACTTGTCATTCTCTTGTGAAATGTAAAGACGGTTGGACAGACTGGCCAGAAAGGCCTCCACTATCACATGATCCATAGTCAGACCAGCTTTTAGGCATCTGAGAGAGGAAGCACACAAAGATGAAAAATACATAAAAATACATTTAAAAAATCTCTAATCACTGCTGTGCCAGGTGTTTGTGTCTGACCTGCAGATGTTGTCAATGGAGATGTCTCTGAGCTGCTCGTACATGGACGGCTGGTCTTTCCTGTTTGACAGGATGCTGAAGGTGGACTGAGAATGCTCATTGGTCACGTTTATCCTAATTTCACCTGTGCCTTAAAAAAAAAGAGTGATAACAGCACAGAGATAGAAACATCAGCACAAAAGGAATTCAAGACAAGCCTTTTTAAAATCTATTAAAACTTTTACTTAATATGATCCTCCACAGAAAAGAAAAGGGAAGAGTGTGGTGCCAAATCTAAACAGCTCGTTATCTTTTATAATTTAACAGATTAGCATCTGATCTATAAAAAGACAATACACTGCAGAACGGAAACATTAGTAACCTGAATTGCATTTCCAGTTGTCTGTATCTGCAGCTGCTCATCAATGAACACTGTGTTAAGATCAATGATAGATGAGAGCTGGATGTGACAATGACAATGTTATTGATGCATCATCAGCCACAGCACTCTTGTCCCATTTACTGCTGGCTCTGACCATTTATTCTGTACTTGGGATAACAACTTTCCTGCAGGACGTGTTGTAAATTAATTCTAATCTTTAGGAAAATGTTTTGTTTTTATATAAGTGGGGATATATTAGTTCCGATTGGTTAAATATTAAATCCATTCTATGGCCAGTTTCAGACTAACTCTGCTTAGTTCCACTCTGCTTTCAAGCAGTAGTTGCATGTTTTCTTCAACTGAATTATAGGAACAGGTGCTGCCATCATGCTGTATTTTAGAACAAAATCCCATATGCTCATAAGTATGGGAGTGTTGAATGTCAGTCCTGGGGTGAATTTGAAGTTACCAGTATATCTGTACCTGTGCTGTACTGGCTGTGATACTTGTAGAGTTTTATAAGAACAGGGGAAGGAACCACCAGGAAATCCCTGAGGGAGGTTGTGGCAGAGTGAGCAACTACTGGAAACCTCTCACACAGACGGCCCAGGCCCTAAGACAGAGGAGAAGACAATTAGAGAAAAGGAAAATGAATACCCATTAAATCATCAAAAATACTTGCAACATAGGTTTTTATCAGCTTCAAAACTAAGACATCTAACCTACTCTCACCCCATGATCTAGTACTTTGTCTAACATTTCACTTCTCTTTCATATCTCAGTACTCTTTCTATCTTTTAGTATTATACCTGTAGGCAACAGATGAGCAGGGGCATATGAGCAATGATGACTTTACTAGAGGTTTTCGACTGCAGCTTCTCTGACAGTTTGGTGCACAAATTCTCTGCACCTGGGAAAAGACACCAGGAAGGAAAAGTGAAACAACCAGGACAAAGAAACACACCCAGTATCCCTCTGATTACGACATCTGAAAACACTGCTCTGCCCTCCCTCTACGGTAACAATTGATTACCTTGCTCATCTTTGACGGCCCACACCATGAGATCCACACATGCGGCGTTGGCTTGGCAACGAAGCTTGAGGGGGCTCTGTTCCCCCGTCAACCCCGCCGTGTCATGAAGTACCCGCTGCAGCTCTGATTGGCTGCTGCTAAATTGCTCCAGCACAAAGTCGTGCACTTCCCGTACAAAGGCCGGCTGCAAGGCTTAGAAACATGACCAGAGTATGAAATTAATTAAATAATTAAACCAATTTAAAAAAAGCAGCTTTAATACATAATAAATAAGCAATTTATGATGCTTTACCTTTCATGTAGTATAGTGTGTCCCGCAGCATTTTGAACACACACACATAGAGAGGGTCACTGAAGGTTTTGTAGTAGATGTTGACTCCAGGATTAGACTTAACAACAAACAAAAGAGACAGTGACAGAGAAGATTACGTTATCGATAATGGCATAAATTAAACTTTGACTTTACCTGTTAAGTTTTTTGTACAGGCAGTGATTATAGAGTATAGTTACCTCTATAACTTCTGTCATAGTGGCGTTCAGAGTTTTCAAAAAAGAGTCGGAAACAAACGTCTTCACCTGTAAATTGACAATACACACATGGCTGAAAAAAATGCAAAATACATACATAGGATGAGAGACAACGTAGGTAGTATTTCAGAAGATAGGCAGCGGGCTGCTATACCATGCTAAGGAGCTGCCGGAGCAGATCAATAGGCACCTCCACCTCGTTTTCTCCTGCCCCCATGAAGAGAGGAGACATTGAAAAACTGGAGCTGACTGTGGAGAAATAGTGGTCAGGGTCTACTGTACTGCTGTCTGGGAGGTAGGCACCTGAAATGAAAGAGACGGGATGACATAAGAAACATGAGACAAGTTAGACCACATATGACTGGTTCCTTCAGGGTGCCATGGGTAGTATTAAATGGCTTAAAATAGAAATAATGGCTAATAAAAAAAAAAGCAAGTAGCTACAGCTGACAATGATAGGATACAAAGAGATGAGAGATTTACATTGGCACCTTGTGCTTCTTGAGTTTTACCTTCAAAGTAATGCGGGCCAGGGGTTGTAGGAGAGCAGGGTGAGTGGCCTCCTGGGTCTGTACACACCTGTGAGACAGCACATTACAGAACATTTCTGTAAGTCACCTCTAATTGTCCTGAACACACTAAACGTGTCTTGAATCCAACCTGCTCTGTAACAACATATGCACACCTGTGCAGAGGAATCCAGGTTGGTCCCCGTGCGCCTGCGCAGAGTGTCACTCTGGCACGCCGTGAGCAGCGAGGATGGAAGGATAGAGCGAAAGTCATTGAAGGA